AGAGAGGCAAAGCCAGAGTGAGTGAATTTTCTCCACAGCTGTTGAGACCTAATGTATGACAAACTGAATAAATTGACTTTGTGATCCAGAAACTAACTGCTTTCCGCCTTTTTGGCAATCCCTGTGCTAGAGCCTCAAGCCCTGTAGATTTTACCCATTCTTTGAGATGTTGGGTTCTGCCAGTGATACAAGAGCCCTGACAAACTCGAGTTAAAGGTCTCGTCCCTCCAGAAGTGCTGCTCTCTTTATATTTCAGCACTTACACCAAAGTCAGGGTTGCCCCACCATGGCAACTTGAATTTATACGGCACAATTTTACATAGAGGAACTTTTCATTCGGACTTAACAGCAGTGGAGGAAATAATTAAGAAATGGGACACATTTAAATTAGGCTGAAGGGCACAGACAAATTGAGTTTATTTTCACAGAAGATCTTTGAAAGCGAGAAGTGGGAGAGCAAAGTGATGTAGGCTGAGTGTTCGGGGACTTGATAATGGGGCTTGATCCCCGAAGAGGGAGTATGGTAGAACTATCCACAATCACAAGAGCGCAGTGTGTGAGCACAAAGACATTCCTGAATTAGCAAGTGCATGAACCTGATGGCCAGTGGTTGAATTACGTGCGATTATAGTGTGTCTGTACTTTTCTTAGATGTGCATGGATTTTGCGTCTAGGTGGCAAAATGTTTCAAACCCTTTATCCCAGTTGGTCTGCAAATGCACAGTCACTGCCCTTCACAGTAACATCCTGTAATGCACTTTGAGACTTTTCAACAGCATGCTATATCAAATGTAGAATTATTATTAAGTTTAAAGTGTAGAATGACAGGTTACCACAAGCGGAATTAGCCACGCCAAAGGTTGTCACGATTGTTCTGTGGCTTCTAAGGACAGGTGTGCAAATAAGATCTGCTTGAACTCCCAACGATACCAGCGCTGTTTTGGCGTGTATAATTTGACAGATAGAGTATCTATAGTAGAGGTCACATTTTTAGGCAATTTCAGTTTCAATCCACATCCAAGCACAGTCTAACCTTGGCATAAGTTGAAAATCTGGACTGTCCTGATGAAACCTGAGCCATGAGCGATCATGGGACAGGCACATGGAGGATCAGGTCTGTGAGGCTCTGCTGGTTTTGTGGATTTAATCCTTTGATAAATGCATGGTATTTATTTTTAGTGAACAAAGGAGGAATGCATTCGAGAGGCTTTTGCTTTTCGAAAAATTGTACATTGCCACTGATGCAAACTCTTGTCGATGCCTTACCATAAAATTAAGATAATTTTACTTTTAAGTCTTCCGTTCACATTTTACATGTCGTGGAGTCCTGTGGGGTAGTGATCAGCAAGCTCACCTCGTAAGCGAGAGGGCCCCGGTTCGATTCCTAGGTGGAGTGAAAACTTACGCAAGTTTCCTTACTTCACGGTATATCAAATGCAAGGCGGTATATCAAACGCAAGGATTATTTATATTATCATTATAAGTGGATTCCGTTTTACACGCAGTGCAGATACAGAAAATGAACCGAGCTGGGTTCTGTAAACCGCTAGAAAGTGGAACAATTTCAAAAGGAGGTTTCCCTTCAATGGACGTAAAACTTGAAATGCATTATCGCAGTGTGCATCAGAGCACCAGCAGTGAGGCTGATGGTCTCCCTCTGTGGGGATCTTTTATGTTATCAGCTGGCAAGTGAGAAACAAGCCTTTGGAGTTAATACAGGGTGGAAACGGCCCCGAGAGAGCAAATAAAAGACAAGTCACTGATTCTTCTGCTCCTTGTGTTCAGACGTTGAAAAATGCTGCACTTTGCACATTATTCTCCCATCGCTCGTCAGAAGTCTCTCCACCGTCTTCTCTCGGTGACGGTGGCCCGAAGGCTAAACAATAGTGTACTGTTTACAAGCAAGAGGGCAATTGAGTCACTAACAATCCTTGATTCCGGTTTTGCAGGACTTTGAAAAGGCCGTCACTCTTTCAACTGCCCCCACCCCCCGTCTCGCCAGCACCACGCTTTAATAACTTGATTGATAACATTCTTGTCTGTACAGGGTGTCATTTGTGAAATGTTTAACAGATTGGATTTGTTGTTAGTGCTGTGGTGAGGGGTGGTGGTGGGGGAGGAAGGAGGTTGGAAGGTATGGGTAACAAAACAAGCATCATAAATACAATCACCAGTGACACTCACAAAGCAGGAGGCTGAGAAGAGAATGAAGAGCACCTCAGGCAGCTCGTGTGTTATTACTTTTCAAGGTGATTGGCTGGGCAGAGGCCTGAAGGCAGGCTCTATGGCAGCAATTTGTTGTTACGGTCGGTTGTGAGAACCATAATCGAGCATTCAGCACTTTGTTTGCTTGTTTGTAGTCTTTCCACCCGCTTGTGACCCCCACAGCCTTTTATTTTCACCGAGGGTATCCTGGTGCCATTACGTAGGTAACCACAAGATGAGCTACAGCATGACTTGACTTGGTTCATGCTGATCTTTGGCCGCTCATTTTCCTCATTAAGGTATTTTTTTTTAAATTGTCTTTATTGGTGTATTTAAGTGGGGTGGTTCTTTAAAATGTCTTAAGATCTCGGTTCCAATTCAGGGTTTTCGTAAGTGCAAGCACTGTACAGGACTGGTCACGTTTTTACACTGGTCACACAAAGGAGATAGACAGATGCGTCTGGAGTAACATTATAGCTGCGTTTGCCTTGATGAGACACCATCAGCAACAACTGAAAGGTGAAACTCCTGTCAGAATGAGCAGCAACGAGTTTGGGTTTCTGTTTGTGTCTGTGTGCTCTGTGTGCTTTTTTTTAAAAAGGAAGAGATTTTTTTTTAAAAAAAGCGCGCGAGTTGAAACTTGACTAGTTCTTTTGGGTCTGCCCTTCTCTCTGAGGTTGAGGGTCTGTGCTTGTGACTGCACAACTGAGAAACCTGCTTCCCCTGTTCATCCAGGGCCGTTCTGCAGGAACTCAAGCTGAGCTGCAGCAGATGGATATACAGAACCGTGCTCTGGAGTGAGCACCACAACAGGCATTGTGACACTGAGAGGCAGACTTTCAGTGAAAAGGCTGACATGCCAGAGTGTGTGTACATTCCAGCACTCATTAACTTAATGAAGCTGGATAATTCCAGCGGTAAATGTTGCCGACACCCAGGTTGCTGTGTGCGCATTGTAACCCTGTGCCAGAGGAAGATAAGTTGTGGACCTCTGTTGGATAAACGCTCCAAGGTATGTTATAGTAAATTTATCCCCGAAAGTAAAGCCATTTATGATTCTGCTCCAGGGCTTTGCCTGTGCAGTCTCCCAGGTTGTAACAACAAAGAGTTGCATGGCAGGGAGCAGTCAGGTTTGTACAATGCTTTACTGTGCACTATTAATTGGCACCGTTCCATGAAAAACAGTCAAGATGTCAAAAGCTTAATCTGCTCTTGCATCTATGTATTCTGTGTACTACTGTATTACTCAGGTTGTGAAGCACGTTTAACTCTATACTTCTCAAAATACTGATTTGGCTGTGTTCCCATGTGGATCTCGTGCCTACTTTATTGCTGTTTTAAAAGCAATTTCCATCACTTTTTTTCCCTCCCTTCTTCCTCTTAAAAGTGTTAAAGTTTGAAGCTGTAAGAACTAGCGACCCCTTCCCCCCACTCACCCATAGCTCATCCAAGTTCAAAGTTCAAACCCTTTCTTACTCCGTGTCCACACACGTACACTTTCCAGCAATGATTATCATTCAGTGAATAGGAGCGGAAACTCTAATTGAGTTCTTTTTCGCCCCCTCCTTTCCCCTTAGCCTTAGGTGATTGAGACAGATTGTACCTCGTCTGATCTTGCCCGGTGGAGATCAACTAACTCGAGGCAGACCAGTGTGTCAGACTTCAGACCTTCCTGAGCCTGCATGACTCAATGGTAGCTTCAGCTCACTGAGGGAATTGTCGTGGGAACAATAATACTAGTTTTATAAGCGATCAGAAATTGACAGGTTTATTGTCTGCGCAAGTTCTCGAAATACAGTCAAGTGCTTATTACGTTCTGTTTGCTATTTGTGAAATCCAGAGAGGGCGGAGGTGGGTGGGGAAATGGGACACACAGAAGGTCCTCGGTTTGCTGAGTGGAGGATGCAAGAAGTAGAGTGAGGTTGGAGAAGACAATAATAAATTGGTCATTTTCAATCTACGACTGTTTGTGGGACATTGCTGTGCGCAATTGGCTGCCGCGTTCGCCCACAAATATACAGTCAATTCACTTTACAGTGTGTTCTGTGAAGCACTTTGGGACGTCCTCCTGACGTGAAAAGCGCTATATCAAATGCAAGGATTATTATTATTATTATTATTTCAGAGGTAGAGAGTTGCGCTGAGAGACATTCGTCAAATTAAACCAGAAAATTTGAGGCAAACATAATGAGCATTGTGTAAAGCTTGGAAGTTCTTTCCTTGTCTGTGTGAAGCGCTTGGAGATGATTATCTTGTGTGAAAGATGCTTTATTTATAAGTGCAAGCTGCTTCTGCTGCTCATGTACCAATATAACCTATATAGAAAGTGAATTTCTTTTAATTTGCTCTTCGTTCTCAGGTGTTATTTAAACAACATTCAAATAGTGTTTAAAAATGAACGTTGGCCGGTCGGTAGCTTAAAGGACTGTCAGCGATCACAGAGTTAAATTAAATAGTTGACATCTTGTTATCTGCAACCTCTTATCTAATGGCATTCTAGGGACATTATCATACTTGTCAACACAGTGGAATCTACAAGTTGTTTATCCCATGCATTTCAATCGAAACTGTTGCTGTGCCTTTTAAAAGAAGCCAGCGCCAGATGCACAAGTATGGATAATTTTAGAAGTTCTCAGTATCCCAGTAAATTAAAAGGAATGTGGAATCTCATCAATTAATGATGTTACTAGCGTGCCGATCCCATTGCACTGAGCGGGCTGATCTTTTAAGTTCCTTTTTGGCTGCACTGACTACTGAATTCTGCAGCTGAAAACATTACTTCTTTTCTTTTCCAGATACTTGACGGACGGGGGATTGGGACTTTACACTCGCAGGCTTAACCGCTTACCAGATGGAATGGCTGCAGTGAGAGAGAACTCTCAGCGAAATACATCTATAGGCCTAGGTGATGCAGACAGGTAGGAACCTCACTGTTTTGAGAAACTTATGTCCTCGACTACATCTCTGCAGGTTTGATATTTGTTGCAGCAGCTGAGCTTTTCTGAAGTGAGGGGAATCCAGACCAGCGGAGAGGAACACCAGTTTGTTGCTTCTGTTGTAGCTTTGCCCATCAGCAGGGATATTTTTTCTATTTACAGCGACTTCCTGCAATTAACACGGTGAAAGTTTGGTTGTGATCTTGGTTGGGAGAGACTTTCAATGGACATCATTTACCTGGAGCTATTAAGCGCTCTGGGATGCTACCCCGCGTGAAGAGTGCTATATAAATGCAAGTTGTTGTTACATTGTAGTGGAAGGATATAGTGATTGTGATGAGAGAAAAACTGTGATGAGAGAAGAACTGTCTATCCTCTTTCATTAACATGTTTTGTGTTGCACAATTTTTTGGAGGGTTCAGACGGGTGTCTGACACATGTGGCAACCAATCAACATGCTTTAGACTGAGTATCGAAAGCAGACTGATAGTTCCACATATGTATGCCACCTACACGTGGAAATTTCCCCGTATCTGGAATAGAATGCACACTCTCTGGATAGTATTAGGTGCAGATTGGAAAGAGCCAAGGCTTGGGGACCCCAGAGTGTCAATTGGGGTATAATTTTCACATGAGAACATTATTATAGAAATATAAAAGTACAGATCTCTGAAAATCAGGAAAAGCTATTCATTTTTTTGTTCTTCTGATTGACCGATATCTGTTTCCTCTGTACTTATGTTTCCAATATTTCAAGTTTGATTTCTATCACAGCACAAATTAGTTTTTCTTTGATGGCAAACAGGTGGAGTTGCTTGACTGTGAGTGCATTTTTCATGCTACCAATCCATCTCCCTTTCTTTTTTGTCATTTTCAGGAGTACCTCACCAGACAGAATTAGCTATCTTCAGGCATATCAGCATAATTAACATATATTAAATGTTAATCGCGATGCAATTCAAAATGGAATGGAGCATCAAAAGGGAAATAACATTAATACATAGACATCTTGTCGCAAGATCATTATATTTCATGTCTTTCATTTGAGCAACACAGAGGCCCTTTAAGTGGTATAGATCAACTCTCTATGTTATCCTCTGCCTTCCTTTACACAGCTAGAATCCAGATTAGATTCTCAATGAAGGAGTCATAGGAGCTCTTAGTTCCTGTGTTGTAAATTCACACTATATAAGATATGAGACAACTTTCCAAAGCTCAGACATTTTAATTTATAGTTTTAAGCTTTTAAACTCAATTTCACGTAACTTTGGACAATGTGCTAAGTTAGGCCCAATTCTTCAGGATTTGCCTTGGCTTAATTAACAACTGTACATTTAAGAAGGATGTGTGTGTGTGCCCTACAGCTGTTTGTTGGAAGGCTCTGGGTTCTGGTTAAACAAGAACTCCCCAGGCCTCATTTCTCGGGGAGTTGCTACAAACTCCATTTGGCAGAACCTGAATCAGGATCCTGAGTGTAGATCATAGGATTGTGGAATTGTAACAGCACGGTAACAGGCCTTTCACCACATCTCATCTGCACTGGTGTTTTTCTTCCATAGAAGCCACCAAATCTAATCCGACTTCCTGTTCACTCCTCATGCCCATATTGAACCAGTTACCAAACCCATTCCACGTCTATAGGTGCTCCACTGTCTTGCTTCCCCAGTTTATTATTTTAGATTGCATCTCGGTTAACTTTTTTTTGTTTTGGTGGGTGCATGATTTTTCCTGAAATTTACTTACTTTGAAATAATGTGAGTAGTTTTGTGTCGTTTTCGAAGATAAGAGGAGATACAAAGCAATATTTTCTGGACAATGGGACAGAAGTGGGATGTTGACATTGCTAAATAGATAGCGATAATGAATGACTTCAGAATGCGGCCCAAGGAGGAGTTTATGATGATCATATTCTGCTTTTCTGATAGAGCTCATTAATTGTTGCCAGATATTATGCATGTTTTCACACATTATACTCTATTAACATAAAATTCAGACCTTACAAGTTGCAGTTACCCTGCAGCATCGCTGTAATGTGAGCGACACGGAATTAATTTAATGGGTGAGGGACAGGTTAATGGAAACCTTGGCAAATCACAGCTGAGCTCACTTATTAACTGTATGACAGGGCCTTCCTTGGGGGACTTGAATTTTCTTTCTCCCACTTCTCCTCAATTTGCTCCCTTGGTGCTTTTTCCCTTTGAGTGAAGGATTGATCTTTAGTAAAAGACTTGTTTTTGACAGTGCAAAGTTTCTCTCAGTTCATGTTCAGGTTTATTCACACAATATGTTCTGGATGTCAGGCGACTTTCTACTTTAAATACACGAGAAGCCTGTTCGAAAACCCCTTGCAAAACTGAAGCACTCTCTTCTGGGAACAGTTGACCAATATCCATTTCAGATCAACTGATCGTATCTGTGTGCTCAGGCAATCTCCTGAATGACATTGCTGGTACGGTTTGCAATAGACTGCTGAGCTTAAGTACTTTACTTCACTTGACGAAAGGATAGTGATGCGGACAGAATCATAATGTCTTTTTTTTTCTTGAATCTTCCCCCCAAGCTGCTGACTCACGCTGGCATACAGTTCAAGTGATGCCAACAGTTCTCTGCCACTTTGTTCACATGAGCCTTTTTCACAGTGAATATTAACTTGCATTTGTCCTGATCTGACTCCATGCCCAGCACCACCACATTCACTTTCCTGCAAGAATAATGAGAGCACTGGCTTATTTCCTTACCTCCCCCACCTCTTCCCCCCCCCCTCCACCCCCATTCTTTTTAACACTGGATGCTGAGACCACGTACATATTTACATATTTCTGCAATTCACTGCAGCCATCGTCCTTTTTTTCACATGTAATTTAATCGAGATCTTTGGTCAAATTTAAGAGTGTGGTGACCCAAATGTTTTAGAGCTTCTAAAATGCCCTTGTGACAATATATCATCTCAAAAAGAGAATGAAAAAGTTAGTTCACGCCTCCCTTCAGTATTGAATTTCAATCTTGATGTTTGTGATGGCATACAAGGAATATTTAACCAGTGCTAAAACTGACGTGTAATTTCACTTGTAGCAGTTCAGTCTATTTTTTTAAAAAATGCTTTGTGATTAATTGCAATTAAAAGAAACATTTTGTGTTATAATGGAGTCTGCATAAATGCATAGCTCATCCAAGCATAGCATTTCAGCGTATCATTCTCATTAACTTCCATTATGTAGATGTTCGTGTACAAATGTTACCCCTGATTCGGGGAGAGCATTTCATGTTAACAGAGTCGTGTGTTTATCCATCTCAAAGTATGACTGAAACAGACACGATCACCAGCACTTTACTGGGTTATCGGGCCACTTTTCAATGTCATTGCGGCTTGGAATTGTGTCGTGCTGTTGGTGATTGTGTGGATAAATAATTGAAAGAACCTTGAATTTATGATTGACTTGTGTTAGTTCATGGACCTTGTGGAACGGTGCCTGGGAACTGAATCCTGCTGCTGGCTGGAGCCGGCTGCAGGAGGGGTTTTGTCAGGCATTGTTTGCTATACACGGTGCTCCGGGGCTTGCTCGCTGGGTAGGGATCTGTGCGTTCGTTGCCTCTCACTTGAAACAAATGAACAGAAAAGAGCCTTTCTGAACAAAGCTGTCTGATCTAGCTGCAGTGAATTAATGGGATGTTATGCATGAGTACGTAAGCCTTTCAACTGCGAAGCAATAGGGCTTGGTGTCTAGTAATATCAGGCTGGTGGTGGTTGTGTGTGTGTGTTGGGGGTAGGGGTGGGTGACGAGACACAAGAGGTTTTTGTGCATTAAACCATAGTTAAAGATTGGACCAGATGTTTTGGGGAAAGGGAATAGGAAGGTCTGTTTATGACAATTTTTTGATGAATACATTAAGGCAATAGGAAGACTCCAGTTACACCGCATTAGCGAAACAGTGACTTATTACTTTGGAAGGGTTGAGTCTGGGGGTTTTAGAGGCAGAACAGCACTGGGACATCGTATTTGGTATCCTGCAGGAGTGAGCAGAGGGAATGATCTGATCTGACAGTGAAAGAGAGAGCATGCTCAAAACCCAAGGTAGAACATCCTCCAACCTATCTATCCCTCAATGTTAAGTGTGCAAACTGACAACACATCCACTTCAAGGCAGAGGTAAGGGAGTCCTCTCTTTCTCATCTATATTTGTGTTTCCAATTTTGGTAGCAAAAATTTGCTTGAGAGGTTTTCAAAATTTAGTTAGCCAAGCTTTTAGTGGATGATTTCGTGAAAATTATTAACTCCGTGACATGTTGGAAAGTTGACTGGCAAATAGGAGTTTGGTAGCAGATGGATAAATAAATTGCGCTAGTGTCTGGCTTTTTGTTTCATATGCACATTACAATAATAGAATTTCTCGTGATTAACCTGGGAAGTATTACAATCAGCTTTCAAGTGCAAGTTTGGGTCTCTTTTGACAGAAAACAAAATCACCTGAATTATTGCTCGTGCCATTTTCAAGCCATCATTTGTAATAGCTTAGTCGCAGGCTGCAAGTGGACTACAATAGAGTGAGAGGTGCAGTGGCCATCGCTTGTTAAAATATGATTTGCTGCTAATGCAAACCACAGAACTGCTGTAATTTCCAATGGTCTCGAGATCCTTGCTGGGCAGATTATGGTCAATTGATTTAACCCCGCAATTCAAAGCTCTAAGGAGCAGGGTGATATTGCACAGCTCTATGCCAGCAGTACAGATACCATTTCTCTTGATTTGGGTCTAACCTTTTAAAAGATTATTTGCATCTTAATTTGAGTACTCGACCACAGAGGCATGGCATTTGAATTTCCACAGCTGATGTACATTTTTAAGAAAAACAATTCCAAAATTTGTTTACCAGAAGTATTATTTTTCCCGACTGACTTTGAAGTTTGGAGTAACCAGAGTTAAAAGGGTTGTAAGGGGATTTAGCTTGAATTTTTATCAGAGGAGAATAAACCTCTGCAGTTA